GACCGTGCCCTGATGGAGAAGGATGAGCGGATCAAAGGTAACGTCTGTTTTGGAGAAATGCTAGCATCTCTGGAGGAGCTGGGTGCTGGGGCAGGGACAGCACTGCCAGGATGCTGGGGGCCCGCTCCTCATGTGCAGTAAACTCTGCTTCTCCCACAGATCTGCAAGCCCAGAACGAGAAGGCTGAGCAGGAGAGGGAGGCTGAGAGGGAGAGGGAGGTGGAAAGACTGCAGGAGATGGAGGACTGGATTTGTGGATATGAGCACGCTGAGCAGGAGTGGGAGGCTGAGAGGGAAAGGGCGGCAGAAGAACTGCAGAGGATGGAGAACCGGGCTCGCTGCTCTGAAGAGGAAGTGCTTCGGCTGAGAAAGAAACTGACTGAAGAGAAGAAATATTATTACAAGGTATGGAGCAGCACAGTGCGTGCACAGATATGCATCAGCAGCGGAGGGGTCCCAAGCAGGTTTGCTTCTCTTCCCTAGGGTGGGCACTCCAGAGGTGGTTTTCAGCAGCAGAACACCAGGAGTAACAGGTCTTTTAGAATAATGCCAATGCTGGGTACTGTACTAGTATTGGCATTTTTTGCAGCCAGAATTGTGCTTTGAGGTCAGTGATGCTTCTCTCATAACACTGGAGGTATCCATGGTTGCATCACTACCCAGAAGTGCTTTTGTAATTAGGAAGAAATGGGATCTTCTGTAACTGCTGGTGAATTGAGCAAATTTCTGATCATCTACTCGAGGAATTGCTGTTCATCTGTTCATGGAATCGCACTCCTTCCTTTGCTCAGGGACTGTGCAACAATAGCTTTGAAAAGAGTGACCTTCGTGTTTCTGTACACTTTGCATTTCTTTAGAGTTGTGCTTTGCTTCTGAAAATGCTAGGTTAAAAAGAAAATAAAAAAGATGTCAAGCATGAACTGGTGTCTAAAGCAGTCAAGTGTTGTGCCACCACTGACTTTGCTAATGCCTTCTTTTCCATTCCTTTGAGCACAGAATGTAGGTCACAGTTTGCTTTCACCTGGAGGTGCATTCGGTATTCAGTGAAGTCATTTGCCCCAGTGGTGGAAACACAGCCCAATCATTTGCCAAGGGCTACAGAAGAACAACGAAATAGCCGTCAGGTAGATCGAGCTGCCAGGATTGAGGTGGCTCAAACAGACCTGG